GTCAGGAGGCTGAGGCAGGAGAATCGCTTGAACCTGGGAGGCGGAGGTTGCAGTGAGCTGAGATCACACTACTGCACTCCAGCCTGGCAACAGAGCAAGACTCCGTCAAAAAAAAAAAGAAAGAAAGAAAAACAATTTGAAATCCCTCAAGTTTACCATAAGAAAGACTCCCTATAGAGATCAAGCTGTTTCCCAGCCCAGGAGATAATCATGAGAGATACTTAACTCAAGACAGGTATTCCCATATTAGGTAAAGCAGTCAGCAACTTCACAGGAAAACATAAAGCTTAAGTTAGCTGAAATGTGAAACATCTGAAGTTTAACCGTCTGGCTCATAAAGAGCTTTGCCTGTTTTGGTGAGCAAAGAGAAATAATCTTCATGCATAGAATCCTGATCTCTTTTGGAGTGCCAACTAATACATCTTTTATTTTAGCCCCAACCCTTTTTTTTTTTTTTTTTTTGAGACAGGGTTTCACTCTGTCACCCAGGATGGAGTGCAGTGGTGTGATCACAACTCACCACAGCCTCGACCTCCCCCATCTCAGGTGATACTTTCACCTCAGCCTCCCAAGTAGCAGGGCCTACAGGTATGCACCATCACACCCTGCTAATTTTTGTATTTTTTTTACAGAGATGGGGGGGGTTTCACCCTAGATGTTGCCTAGGTTGGTCTTGAACTCCTGGCCTCAAGCAATCCACTGGCCTCAGCCTCCCAAAGTGCTGGAATTACAGGCGTGAGCCACCGCACCCAACCTTAAATGTTTCTGTAGCGACTAAGTCTCACTATGTTGCCCAGGCTGGTCTCAAACTACTCGGCTCAAGCAATCCTCTCATCTTGACCTCATAAAGTGCTAGGATTACAGGCATGAGCCACTAAGCCTAGCCTTATTTTAGCTTCTTGGCTAAAATAAGGGAAACAGAACTTTGTCAGAGTGGCATGCAAAAAAATTGAAATCTATCTCTTTTCTCTCTAGAAACACTAAAGCTAAGGAAATAAAACATGTAGCCATTTAAAATGCTGCAATCGTGAAGTCCAACATCTTAAAAGCGCCTCTCATTTTGCCCCCCCACCCCGTGGGACTGTGACAACTTAGCAGCAGCAGGACATGTCTTAAGCCAAGACGTAAGGAAGGAAGGACTCCTTGCTGGACCTCACAAAAACAACCCGAGACCCATTAACACTTGTATCTCTAAATGAACTGGTAGTGGGACCATAACAACAGAGGCAGGAACTTGGCCAAAGAACTCTAACCAAGCCAGACAGCCAGACAGTAAAAGGGCATTTGTAAGGGATGCCCCTATCACTGCCCTCTGCTATGGCCACACAAGAGGAATCCACGAAACATGAAAAACATAAAACTACCTCCCTCCAAAGCTTCTAAATCTCCATCCCATTTTCAGCACTGGAAAAATCATACATAAACAAGGTTTTTTCATACTAACAGAGCCTAATGTTTATTCTTTTTTTTTTTTTTTTTGAGACAGAGTTTCGCTCTTATTGCCCAGGCTGGAGAGAATGGAGTGATCTCGGCTCACCACAACTTCCGCCTACCGGGCTCAAGTGATTCTCCTGCCTCAGCCTCCGAGTAGCTGGGGCTACAGGCATGCGCCACCACGTGTGGCTTTTTTTTTTTTTCTATTTTTAGTAGAGATGGGGTTTCTCCATGTTGGTCAGGCTGGTCTCGAACTCCCGACCTCAGGTGATCAGCCTGCTTCGGCCTCCCCAAGTGCTGGGATTACAGGCGTGAGCCACCACGCCTGGCCAATGTTTATTCTTCTAAGGATGTCTGATATGGCAAAAAGTTAAACTGATTTTTTTGTTTATTTAACTTATTTTATTTTATTTTTTTTGAGACAGAGTCTCGCTGCGTGGCCCAGGCTGGAGTGCAGTGGTGTGACCTTGGCTCACTGCAACCTCCGCCTCCCGGCGGGTTCAAGAGACTCTCCTGCCTCAGTCTCCCGATTAGCTGGGATGACAGGCGCCCACCACCACGCCCAGCTATTTTTTGTATTTTTAGTAGAGATGGGGTTTCGCCATGTCGGCCAGGCTGGTCTTGAACTCCAGACCTCACGATCCGCCCACCTCAGCCTCCAAAAATGCTGAGATTATAGGCGTGAGCCACCGCGCCCAGCCTTATTTTCCTTTTGACTTGTGCACAAAAGTGGTATATAATAAACATGTTTAATTCTGTCGAAAAGAGTGCTATATATGAGAAACATAAAAGTCTGATAAGAATGCATTTTTTTCTTTTTTTAATTTAACTTTTTTTTTTTGAGATGGAGTTTTGCTCTTGTTGCCAAGGCTGGAGTGCAATGGCATGATCTCCCCTCACCGCAACCTCCACCTCCCAGGTTCAATCAATTCTCCCACCTCAGCCTCCCGACTAGCTGGGATTACAGGTGTGCGTCACCACGCCCGGCTACTTTTTGTATTTTTAGTAGAGACAGGGTTTCACCGTATTAGTCATGCTGGTTTCGAACTCCTGACCTCAGGTGATCCACCTGCCTTGGCCTCCCAAAGTGCTGGGATTACAGGTGTGAGCCACCACGCCCAGCCTTTTTCCTTTTTTAATTAATTTTTTTCTCTCACTATTTGAACTACAGGGATAATGCATGTTGTCATGTTTAATTTATAGTTATATTTTCTTAGTGACAGATAAAATAATTTGCATTCTGCAATCAACGACTTTTTTTCTTGAGATGGAATCTCACTCTGTCACCCAGGCTGGAGTGCAATGGCACGATCTCAGTTCACTGCAACCTCCACCTCCTGAGTTCAAGCAATTCTCCTGCCTCAGCCTCCTGTGTAACTGGGATTACATGTGCGTGCCACCACGCCCAGCTAATTTTTGTATTTTTAATAGAGACAGGGTTCTGCCATGTTGGCCACGCTGGTCTCAAACGCCTGACCCCAGCTGACCCACCTGCCTCGGCCTCCCAAAGTGCTGGGATTACAGGCTACTTAAGTAATAAGGTAGTTTACCTTATTTTGTTGTACTGCTATAAAATACCATGTTTTGTGTGATGTGGTCACATTACAGCATAACCTATTTTATTATGCGTCTTCAGGTTCATTTACTCCAATTTTATGATAGAATATCCTCTAAAGCTGTGATTGAAGAAATGTATTTGCTTTAGATAGGAGGTTTTGAAATGAAGTCCAAAATAGGGACACTCTACATCAGAGATTGACAATGAGTAGGATGAATTTTTAAAATTACCTATGGCCAGCCTGGTGCAGTGGCTTACGCCTGTAATCCCAGCATTTTGGGAGGCTGAGGCAGGAGGATCACGAGGTCAGGAGATGGAGACCATCCTGGCTAACACGGTGAAACCTCGTCTCTACTAAAAATAAAAATAAATTTAAAAAAATTAAAAAAAAAAATTAGCCAGGCATGGTGGGCGCCTGTAGTCCCAGCTACTGGGGAGGCTGAGGCAGGAGAATGGTGTGAACCCAGGAGGTGGAGCTTACAGTGAGCTGAGATCATGCCACCACACTCCAGCCTGAGTGACAGAGCGAGATTCCGTCTCAAAAAATTAAAAATAAATAAATAAATAAATTACCTATGGCCAAATCCCTATTTATAATATAAAGAAACACTGAACTCTTTCCAAATCCAAGTAACTCTCTACAATTAATTAAGCTCTGTCTGCACTGGGAGAAATTTTGTTTCCCATTGCAGCTCTTTAATGATGTATAAGGGTTGATGATGCTTAACTTTAAATATCTAGAAAGAAGCAGGAACAACATGAAAGCTCAAAATTAAGAACAGAGACTGGACTCTGGTGTCCTGGCTTCTCTGATATCCCAGGGACCTATTACACTTTGTCAGGCCCCCCAGCTCCCAACGGATCAGGAACTTGAGACACTGGCTGTGGTAACAACCTTCAAGCTTGATAACTATTCATGGCCTCCGTTCTTATATTTCTAACTCATCAGACAGTAAAAATCTCAGAATCCTGATTTCAGATCTCATGAACTAATTCTACATCACCACCTCAAATTACCCAGCCTGAAGACATAACGGGCTTGGTATGAAAATATAAAGTATGTGGGAATAAGACTGAGGGCACTGTAGGCATCTTGAACAAAAGGGTCAGATTAACCTGCAGCTGATAAGGAAAGGGCTCCAAACTTCTAGAACCTTCTTGTCAATTCTGCTTTAGTATTAGAACACGTATGACTACCCACAACTCTGTCCCAACCCCATTTCCAATAATCTGGCCTAACTGTTGCCAGAATCTAGAGCGTTCTCGAAAACCACTCACTCAGCAGCTCCCTTGGCTAGTCCGACTGGCAGTCTCGAACCACTGCGGCTGCTTCGGAGTGCCAACAGCGCCCAAGCAGTTGCCCTCTTCCTTGGTGCTTAACTTAAGAAAGAACAGTGCTGGGAAGGATAAAGATCACCCAGGAAGGATGGGGAAGAGGAGTCGGACACAGAGAACACGAGATAAGCCCCTCGCTCTTCCCTTTTTCTCTATCATCTTTGACTTCTGGGATAACCGGGGGCAACCAGGTCAATTATGGAGACACACTCGAACCCAGACTAGTGATCGAAAGGGAAAACGGGGTGAGGAGAGCAAAGGTTTTAGAGATGGAAAGTGCAGACAGGCAACAATGCACAGAAGTTAACAAGAGAAGGAGGGGGTCAGGGGCGATGTAAGGAAGTCGTCATCGACGCCGCGCCGCCCCCCTCCTCGCACCAGACCTCCGAAATTGCCCTCCGAGACTCGGGCTCTCCTATAAGGACGATCGTCCTCTCAGCTGGAGAAGAAGGCCATGCCTCAGCTCCTTCGCCAGGCGGAAGCGGGAGAGGAAGGCCGACCCCCAAGAGCGCCCCTTCAGGGGGTCCATCCGGCCTTGATCTCAGATTGGGGGGGGTGTTTGCGTAGGGCGGGGCATCGCCTCAACAGCTGGGGGCTGCATCATGGCAGGAACGGGTTTCCCTGAGCCACGGAGCTGCAGCTTGCCTCCTCTACTACCCTGCTACCCGGTTACCTCTTCGCCTCTTCGTCGTCGAGCAGCTCTGGCTCGGTCGCCGCCATTACCACATCGCACTCCGCGGCAGCCGCCATCTTACCGCCGGGACCAGAGAGCTGGGTGGGAGGCCGGCGGTGAAGAGCACTTCCGGTTGGAGCATAGAGCAGCTCAGCGGCGCCGCGCCCAGAAGGGCTCCCTCGGGCTCGTCTACCAGAGAGAGGCTCCGCTTGGGGCCAGAGCGGCCTCCCGCCCCCGGATGTCCAGGGTGGTCTCCGCGCCGGGGCGGGAGCCCAGGGACTGTGCCTGTGCGTAGGCGGCGCCACTTTACCCGTGGATGGGAAGGGAGGTGTACGGGTGGTAGCCTCTCTAGGGCTTGATTGGTTTCAGTATTCCAAGAGCCTCGTTGCCATAGCAACTTCCAATCCTAGAGCGTCTTCCTTAAAGGCTCCGTGGAGTCTGGGTTGGGTGGGGACCAGGTGACCCAAGACTGTAGGGAAAGAGTCCCCACTGCTACCTTTCCGACCTTGGAGTGTGTTCACAGCTTCTTCCCGGGAAAGGCAAGAGCCACTTTGAGCCCAGTTCCCCCAGCTTTCATCGTTCTCTGGAAGCCCTACCCAATCAAGCCAGGGGAACGCAGGGCGTCTTCACCCTGCGCCTTTCATCCACTCCGGATCTCCAAACACCAACTGGTTCATCACCCTAATGACGCTGACCCTTTTACGAGGCTGCTTTCATGTCAGCCGCCTGGGAGTGCCATCTCAGCATTAAGCCTAGGAAAGCTGACACATGGCGCCCCAGACCCTGCCCTGGAGTTTATAAGGAAGCTTGCTGGGTGAGGTCCCTGCTCTTGTGTCCCCATTACTCCTACCTCTTATATAAACTCTCTACTCATCATGCTTGTCTTGCCGAATGCGGTCTGGATTGAGAACTCACAGGGGACAAGGGCACAGTTTAATTGTCTTGTTATTCCCTCACCCAAGCCACTATTTGTGGAGCTGAATTGAATTGGAGCTTTCTGGGGTTAAATTGGAGGAGTATTAGGAGTAGCTTTACAATGTAAAGCTAAGAGTAGCTAAAATGAGAAGAGGGCAAAGGAATTTTTAAAAGGATTTACCTGTTTCTTCCAGGAAAACAGCATGTGCCAATGCTCCTACCCTGCCTATCCCAGTGTGGAGGGAACTGAAACCACAGCGACCACTGAGTAGGGAGGGATAGGACAAGCTTACTAGGTTGGAAAGGAGGGGTCATTCGTTGAGCCAATCACTCAATAGCCCTTTCCAAAACGCCTACTTTGTGCTAGGTTGTGAGGGCACAAGACTTACAGACCACCTGCCCTGCCTGTCAGTGGCTCATAGTCCAGTCTAATGCTAGCCAACCTGTCTCACCATCTTCCCACTTTATGTTCTAAGGCAACTCATTTATTCCCACAGCTTTACATCCATCTGTTGATGACTCTCAACTCTACATATCTCCAACCTAGACCTTTCTTCAGCTTCCACAGCTGCATATCCAACTATCTACTGGATATCTCTTGTATGTTTCACAAATCCCCAAAGCTTACCATAGTTAAATTTAACTTTTCATTGTCTACCTACACCTCAACAACAGAAAAAACAAATGCTGGATGTAATTATTATCTTTCCTAAATTCCATATCTTGTTAAATCGATTAAACCATCCTCACTCTTGGCTTCCAATTTGTTGCTCAGTTTTGTTGATTCTCTTACCAACTATTTCCCAAATCCATCTCCGTTTTTCCATCCCGATTCAGGCGCTCATCATATTTTTAAATCTTGGAATAGGCTGGGCATGGTGGCATGCATCTGTAGTCCCAGCTACTTGGGAGGCTGAGGCAGGAGGATCACTTGAGCACAGGAGTTAGAGGCTACAGTGAGCTATGAGCACACCAGTGTACTCCAGCATGGAGAAAAGAGTAAGACCCTGTCCCTAAAAACAAAAAATGGCAACAACAAAGCAACAGAAAAAAAAAAAAAAAAAAAAAAACTTGGAATACAGCAATAGTCTCCTAATCGGTCCCTAATTTCATCTCTGTCCAGTCTTGCCTCTTCTGCCAGAGTGACCTTCCTCAGGGACTGATCATGTCACTTCATTGGCAATGGCTTTCCATTGCCGTCAGTTTGATCTCTTTGGCCTACCACACAAAGCCTTTGATTATCTGTTTCTTTTATTTTTTTTTAATGATTTAATTTGAGTACCAGTATTTAGGTCCTTTCTACCACCAATATTGAACCTAAGTTCTCATAGTTCCAGAAAATGCCATGACTTGTAGCCATGTTTCCTCCACCCTAGGACACCCTTTCCCCCAAGCTCTTCAGTGTCTGCTGACTCAAAGTTAAATGCCATTTTGCTGTGCCCCACAGCACCTCAGTAATTGTTAGACATTTAGCTTCTCTAGACCGTGAGTTCTGATGGGCAGCCACCGTATCTAACTCGTCCACTTTCTCTCAGTATATGGCCCTGCATATGGCACAGACAGAGAAGATGCTCAGAAAACATTCGACGGATGAATGATTGAGTAAACGAAGAGTTACTGTACCCTGATCGCCTTTAGAGGGAGAACATTTGGGCCTCAGAGACACCAGGACAACCAGCGGCCCGCGTCCAGGGAGTCTAGAACCTTGGGTTCCCGCACACACCCAGGCCAGGTCGTGGCCGTCATTCCCCCGCCGACCTCTGGGGGAGCTGCGCGGTCCGCACCCGTTCTCCGCTGCCGGAATTCGTCTTGTCTGACGGAAGCTGGGGAGAGGGCAGGCGGCGGGGGCGGGGCCCGGCAGAGCCTACACCGACCCGGGAGGAAGACAATCCTGTGCGGCGGCGCTGCCCCTCCCCTGGTCCCCGCGCGCTCCGAGGGCCTGGCTTGGTGCTGCCGGGGCCCCGGGAGGTACGGAGCTGGGAGGCGAGGCTCGTCCGGCGCTAGGATCGGCCTCCGCCCCCGGGCCGCTTTAGGTGGCTGGTCTCTGCCTCTCATTCATCTGGGGGCTCCCCCGTGGGAAAATCTGTGGCGGAGGCCCCTCTGGCCCACTCTTATGGTGTCTTTTATTGTAGGTCTCAGTATATGGAGAGGGGGTCTGTGTCAGGAGCTTCCCCTGGAGAGGTTTCTGTTTGGGACCGTCTTTGGGAGTGATCTATCTCTGCTCTCTGTGGGGGGATCTTTGTCTGGAGCTCTTGGGGGCGGGGGCTTGTGTTTGGAAGTTTGCCTTCGGGGAGATACCTGTCTGGGACCTCTTAGGGTTTCTATGAGCTTTCTCTTTTGTGTCTGTCAGCCCAAGGGCAGCAAAAAGTATCTCCTTTCTGAAGCCTTTTTTTCCTTAGGTTTCTTCACTCTTTCTCTCTTATGTTCATTTTAGCCATATACTTGACTGGCGTTTAGAGGGAATTGATTGATTGTTGTCCAGATGAGTCGTACAGGAAAGCAGATTGTCTTTTTTTTTTTTTTTTTTTTTTGAGACGGAGTCTCGCTCTGTTGCCCAGGTTGAAGTGCAGTGGCACAATCTTGGCTCACTGCAACCTCCGGCTCCCGGGTTCAAGCGATTCTCCTGCCTCAGCCTCTCAAGTAGCTGGGATTACAGGCACCCGCCACCACGCCTGGCTGATTTTTTGTATTTTTAGTAGAGACGAGGTTTCACTATGTTGGCCAGTCTGGTCTCGAACTCCTGACTTTGTGATCCGCCCACCTCAGCCTCCCGAAGTGCTGGCGTGAGTCACCGTGCCCTGCCCCAGATTATCCTTTTTATTTGCTCAGTCCCCCCAGGGAGCAGATGGCTTCAGACAGCCACACAAAATACTATTCCTGCTTAATTCGCGATGGGGTCATGATTAAAGAGAGGAAGCTGGGCTGAGTTCCCTTCACTAATTGGTGCTCTCTACATCTTGTGCACAGAAGGGAACCTGGCCAGTGGCCAGTGACTCTCCTCTCCCTTTATGGCAGCATTTCCAAGCACCTGCCCTGGGACAGGTACTGGCTAGGAACTGGGGATAACAAAGACGAATAAAATAACAGCTTAGCGTCCAGTAGTGAACATAGAGACATCGGTTTCCTCTGACTAGCATTGGGATGGTGCTGAAGCCCTGGAACTATACATTCAGTTTAGAACTTGGGCTCTCAGTTATGGAAGTTCTGCCTTCTATTTTTTTGGTTTTTGTTTTTGTCCACCAGAAAACATCTGCTAGTAACTGCCCTCTGTGTTGATGCTTTCTTTCCTCACCTCACCCAGCGTGCTTCTGTTCTTCAAGGTTGAAAACTAAGCATGGGGAAGAGCTGCAAGGTGGTCGTGTGTGGCCAGGCGTCTGTGGGCAAAACTTCAATCCTGGAGCAGCTTCTGTATGGGAACCACGTGGTGGGTGAGTGTTATTGGAGGGGGAGGAACAGTGGGAGAAGTTGAAGAATAAGGAATAGGCTTGATCACAACACACACAGGCTAAAAGCTGCTCCTGGTGGTTTTTGCCCTGGAAGAATAAAACTTACATTGTAACAAATCAACTCTACAACACTGAACAAAATCGGAGGGAGAAAGCCCTGTGTCCAAGATAGGAAGGAGAAGCTGTCATATCACACTTGTGCTTAGCATGGAATTAGCATAAAATTAATGTCCATTGGCTGGGCGTGGTGGATCACACCCGTAATCCCAGCACTTTGGGAGGCTGAGGTGGGCGGATCATCTCAGGTCGGGAGTTCAAGACCAGCCTGAACAACTTGGAGAAACCCCGTCTCTACTTAAAAATACAAAATCAGCCGGGCGTGGTGGCACATGCCTGTAATCCCAGCTATTCAGGAGACTGAGACAGGAGAATCACTTGAACCCGGGAGGTGTAGGTTGCGGTGAGCCGAGATTGCACCATTGTACTCCAGCCTGGGCAACAAGAGCAAAAGTCCGTCTCAAAAAAAAAAAAAAAAAGAAATTAATGTTAGTTCCCCTAAACCCAAATCATTTCAGTCCTGCCAGGCTGTCAATTCTCTGGCCTCCTCAGCCCCCTACATTCCTTTCTCCCCATCTGGTCAGCCTTAAGCTGTTCTCATAACTCACATTTCCCATCTCCCTCTCCACTTCAGACAGTTTTCTCATTTTATACTAGGTTCAGAGATGATCGAGACGCAGGAAGACATCTACGTGGGCTCCATTGAGACAGACCGAGGGGTGCGAGAGCAGGTGCGTTTCTACGACACCCGGGGGCTCCGAGATGGGGCCGAACTGCCCCGACACTGCTTCTCTTGCACTGATGGCTACGTCCTGGTCTACAGCACAGATAGCAGAGAGTCTTTTCAGCGTGTGGAGCTGCTCAAGAAGGAGATTGACAAATCCAAGGACAAGAAGGAGGTGTGTGGCATAGGCTTCTGGTGGGAGCCTCAGTGATCAGAGAGTTTGGGCAGTGGGCTGGTTTGGGAAGCCTGGCATGGCTCCATTCTTCACTCCAAGGTGAGTTAGGAGCTAGAAGTGGGGTGGCTGCATGTTGAGTCTGCTCAACCAAAGAGGCCTCTTTGTGGCTTAAGGGGTCCCTGACCTGACTTAATGTATGAAGCCCCCACTAGTTGTTCTTCTGATAGTTCTGTGCTTTTAGCTGTGAAAGCTCTTTTTTTTTTTTTTTTTTTTTTTGAGACAGGGTCTCACTCTGCCACCCAGGCTGGCATGATCACAGCTCACTGCAGCCTCAACCTCCCAAGGCTTGGGTGGTCCTCCTGCCTCAGCCCCATGAGTAGCTAGGACTACAGGTGCACGCCACCACGCCTGGCTCAGTTTTGTATTTTTACTAGGATGGGGTTTTCTGATGTTGCTCAGGCTGTTCTCAAACTCCTGGACTCAAGCAGTCCACCTGCCTCATCCTTTCAAAGTGTTGGGATTACAGGCATGAGCCACTGCATCTGGCCATGAAGGCCCTTCTGTTCTCCAGAATCCCCCTCTAAGCTGCAGAGTTCTGGGAGTGCTTCCTCGTGAGTTGTTGAGCCAGAAACTGACTGCTAGTAATGAGCATGTATGGGCAATGCAGGGCTGGTGATAGAACTAAAAGGAGGGCTAGATGGAGGCCAGAATTTGAACAGAGGAAAGAGAAGAAAAAGCAACCATCTCCTTTCCCACAATGAATGGTATGGAATCTAGAAAGAGACGAAACATCAGCCATTTAGCTTTCCTCTCATAGAACTCCTAGATGGTTGCCAGCCCCCATGTCCATTCCTGGGTTTATGGTACATTCACAGGCCTATGCTGCGTTCCTCTTCCCTAGGTCACCATCGTGGTCCTTGGCAACAAGTGTGACTTACAGGAGCAGCGGCGTGTAGACCCAGATGTGGCTCAGCATTGGGCCAAGTCAGAGAAGGTGAAGCTGTGGGAGGTGTCAGTGGCGGACCGGCGCTCCCTCCTGGAGCCCTTCGTCTACCTGGCCAGCAAGATGACGCAACCCCAGAGCAAGTCTGCCTTCCCCCTCAGCCGGAAGAACAAGGGCAGTGGCTCCTTGGATGGCTGAAGAGCTGCCGTTCCTCCTTTATAATCCTAGCCCCATTTCAGCATCTGGGGGTCTGGTAGATGGGTTGAGGGCAAAGTAGAGGGAAAGCTGCCTTTCCCGCTCAGCCACAGAGCTCCCCAGTAGGCCAGGCCCCAGCCACTTTGCTCCCTCTCACCTCCAGGAAGTGCAAATACTCTTGGTTGACATCCCCTTCCTCAGTCCTCACAGCCTACTCCCCACCCCAGCTTTTATAGGCTCTGCTCCACTGTCTCCTGGGGCAGTGGGTCACCGTCCCTTCCAGCTGCCCCAAACAGGATGCAGAGTCACCACGCAGCAGTGTCCCTTCTCGGGTCTGGTTCCTATTATAGTTAGGGGTCCCACCCTCTGGGCTTCCCATCAGTGACACACACACACTTATGGCACCAGCCTGGACGCCAGAAAAAGGGTGTCCAGGTATTGCGTGTATGTGTTTAGTTGTGCCTGTGTGTGCATGCACGCACATATGCTCCTATACTGGTGTTAGGCGTCTCCTCATCCCTCACCCTGACCTTTCTCCTGTCCTTTTCTTGGCTGGAAGAAGCTAGCCTCCTGGAAGTGTAGTTTTCTGTTTTAAATCCCCCACCCCTGGCTGGGCTCAGTGACTCATGCCTGTAATCCCAGCACTTTGGGAGGCCAAGGCCGGTGGATCACTTGTGGTCAGGAGTTCACGACCAGCCTGGCCAACATTGTGAAACCCCATCTTTGCCAAAAATATAAAAGTTAACCGGGCATGGTGGCACATGCCTGTAATCCCAGCTACTCTGGGAGGCTATGGCAGGAAAATGGCTTGAACTCAGAAGGTGGAGGCTGCAGTGAGCTGAGATCGCGCCACTGCACGCCAGCCTGGTCAACAGAGCAAGACTCCATCTCAAGAAAAAAAATAAATTCCCCACCCCCACCAATAGTTTAACTTCCTCTTCCTGCTCAGGGAGCAGATGGGCCTCATTGGTTGAGGTGGAATAGAATAACTGGTCTATGAGTTGCCACCCCACTTTGTGACCCAGCAAGACCTTTCCCCTCTCTGGGTGTTAGTTTCTTATCTGTAAGATGACCAGAGTTGCTCAGATGATCTCCTAGATCCTTTCCAGTTCTCTGATTTTGTAAAGCCAATGGCTTCTCCCTCTTCAAGGTGCTATGCCGACCAGCCCTGAAGGCTGGGATCTGCCGCTCCCTCCAGCCACCAGGGGGCAGGAGTGCACTACCTGCTGTCAGTCGCCAGAGTGGCCGCTCCGTGCCCAGCCCTCCAGCCTCGCCCTTGGAGGCTGCTCTTCATCCTGCCTGTAGTTTTCAGCTCAGAGCTGGACTTCTATTTATAAGTTACCTGTATTTATATTTATATGCCCGCTGCCATGGTGAAGGCTGGACAAGGTGCTCCTCTGGCCCCTCCTTCTTACCTCAGATGCCTGAACAGAACAAGGCAAACACGTAGCAGCCTCTCAGGAGCAGACAGGTCCTCTTTCGGGGCTCAGGAGGGTGGGCACGTACCCAGTGGCCTGCAAAGTGAGCTTATTACCCACTACTTCCTGTGCCCGCTTTGTGCTTCTAAGGTGCACACCTAGCCTAGGTGAGACACTGCAGCCAGGCAACCACCGACACACGCCCCTTCTCAAAGCCAGAGGTGAGTGGGGCAGGTGCCCAGGGCTGGGCGAGTGGAATTAGGACACACACAGGCTTGGGCTTCAAGTTCATTTATTGATGCATTCATTGGACACAATAAAACCACAATTGTTATCAAAAAGTTTCCCTCCCCTCCCGCCTTTTTCTGGTTCTCCCATTGGAAATGTCTTAAAAAAAAAAAAAAGATACAGGGGGATACTGGCAAGGTCCCATATTGTGGGGTGCAGAGGGGGCAGTGCTGCAGTGGGAGGGAGCTTGTGACACTGATGTTGACAGCATGAAATGGGTCTTGTAAGTGCGTGTGAGACTGCCTCCCAATACTCAGCTTCACAGTGGCAGGGGCTGGTTGAGAGAAGGGAAAGCTCTTCCTTTGGGAGCCCTGGGGGTATTCGGTATTAGCTGAGTCCATAGTCTGAGGGAGACCCACACCCGCCCTCCAAGAGCTGGGGTTCAGGAAGTCAGAAGAAGGCTAATAAGAGCTGCTGAGGGATGAGTTACCCCCTCAATATTAAGACTGGGCTCATCGGCAAGTATCACTTGAACCAGGGAGGCAGAGGCTGCAGTGAGCCAAGATCGTACCACTGCACTCTAACCTGGGCAACAGAATGCAACTCTGGAAAAAGAAAAAATGTCTGGGCCCATGAATGCCCAGAAGACTAAGATTAAAACAAACAAAACCCTGGGCCCAACCAGAACATCACCTTCTCTCAGTCCCACCCCTTCAGAGCAGATGAAGCCCCCAAAAGCTTTCAGAACCAGCCCCACCACTTCCTTGGCTCTGCCCCACCTTAGCACTGCTGATCGAAGGACTTCTGGGTCCCCCTTTCTCCTCCGTGGTCCTCTGTCACACTCCCATGGTCACCTTGTCCTGATAGCCTTGAGCCTGCTCCAGCTAAATACCCCATCTCTATCTCCAGTGAAGCCCCAGAGCCTAGGACTGGAGGTCAGAGAGTTGCTCCCCGGCTAGGAGAGGATGGCTTGTAGAAGCTAAGATTCCTGGAGGCTGGCCATGTGGGGCCTGGTGTAGGTCTTGGGTGGAGGAAAGTGAGAGCACCACGTGGCTGGGGCTGAGATTTTGCATAGATCTTTGGGGTCTGTCAGGGTGGGAAATGCAGGGAAGCCTAGGACTAACCCTGGAAGGCCTGGGAAAGGAGGGTGGCGACAGTCCTTGGAAGGGAGCTGCCCTTAAAACTAGCCCAATTCTTTCTGGATTGGGCAGGACCCCTGAAGCTGTTCACAGTCTCTGTGGCATGTAGGAACCCAAGGTGTCTCGGGACAGTAGGAGACAAGGAGTGGCTATTGGGAAATCAGCTCTGGCCTCCCCATGAGGGCTAATAAGGGGCAAGGACGATAGGTCCTGTGGCAGGGCGGACAGCTCCTGCTGGGGTGCGAAACAGAGCTGGGCCCAGGATCGGAGCTGGGAAGAGGGTAGTGGCTGCTGTAGGGGCAGGGCGGAGGGCCAGGGGCCCTGGCAGGGCACAGATGGCAGTGGCTGCAGTGGGGAGCGGGCTGGGCAGGAAGCGGGCTGCCAGCGTCTTGGTGAGTTGCTTCTGCAAGGCCAGTTTAGACTACACAGAAAAGAAAGGAATGGACACAGTCTCCACCCCAGAAAACTGCACCCCCTCCCTGGGGCCCATCCTCAAGCTTTTTGCTGCAGGGAAAATGTGTCTTTTAGAGTTCCAAACCTAAATCCTCCTCCCTTCCCACCCCCAAACATTCATTCCGAAGGGCTTTCTCCGCCACCTGTCTTCCTGTCCAGAGGGAGGAAAGTCTCAGGATGGGAGAAGGGAGGAGGATTTACGGGATAGAGATGGTCTCTAGGAGATGCACGCCCACCCCTCGCTCTTGCCCCTAAGATGACTACCCCAGCCCACCTCCCCGGAAATTCCTTTGGGCAGATCCCAGTTCCCAGCCCCAGCTCTCTCACTGCCCAGCAGCCTCAGTGCAGGGTGGTCTCTTTCCTGCCCCACCACATCCCCCATCTGGCCCTCCCAGCCCACCCTCTCCCCTCCTGACCCAGTCCCAGCTCTGTTGCCTGGAGACAGATACCTTGAGGATACTCACAGCCAGCGCTGCGTGCTTCTGCAGCTTGCTGTGCTGGCTGGAGGGCTTGGGGGGCTTCCCGGCCAGGCGGTCTTTGTGCCTCCTGCTGCTCATGTGCTAATGGACAGACAGACAGACTGGGAACAAGATGACAAAGCCCAAGGACCCCAAGACCATCATCCTCGACTCTCTCCCCCTTCCTCTACCCACAGCTCGTACATCCAAAGCACACAGACTGGGTCCTCACCCTGGGGTAGGCTCTGGGAAGGGAAGGTGAGTCCTAGCCTTTGCCCTCAGTTGGCCTGCTGGCCTCGCTCCTCCAGCCCGCTCTGCTCTGCCCTGCCTGCCCTCTTCAGGATCCTTCCCTCTCCTGCCCTGCCCCTCACCCCCTCCCCTGGCTCCAACCCCAGTCCCAGCCTCACTTCTCCCACCTGCTTGAGTTGGGTCTCTGAATTGACCTGGAGCTGACAGAGAGCACAGTGGAAAGCAGGGCTGGGCCCCTGCCGGCCGCCCCGGCCCCCTGTCACTCTCTTGGCCTTGTGTCCGGCGCCTCCCCTGGACACCGGGCGGCCCCGGCTCCTCCGGGGAGCCGCTCGCTGACCCTCCGTCATCCACCGGTGCTTGGCTCCTGGAGAGGGAAGAAGGCAGTCTCTCGGCAGCAGGAAGGGGTTGCAGGAGCTGCAGAGACCCCTCCACACTCACGCAGTTTGGCTCTCCCTGTAAGCCTCCCGGCAGCTCTATGCGCACATCGCCCTCCAGCCACACGTGGTTTCCCCTCCCAGCTTCTGTCCTTTCATGCCAGCCCCTCCAATGGAAGGCCTCCCTGCACTACAAATGGCTGGCTTCCCCTTTGCTTTGATCTCAGTCCCTTCCTTCTAGGTGTGATCTAAGGAGAGAGGGAGGTGTCTCCTGTCTCCTGTGGAGTGACCCTTCAGAGATTTAGCGACCCTCAGTTCTTGCTGCCTCAGACTTCTGTTCCCAATTCTCCTCCCCAAGGAGTAATGGGAGGACCCAGAAACACCCGCTCAATAATACGCGAGCACAACGCCTCTGCCACCCAACCCTTGAGCGAAGCACGCAGGAACTCAAGCCTACCCTCATCTGGTGAGGCTCAGCTTCTGCCCCACCCTTTCTCCAGGCTCCAGCTCCTGGGGACCACTGACCTGTGTTGTGAGCCTGAAGCTGGGAGGCCGAGTTCACTGTCACCTTACACGTGGGGCAGTAGAGGTGCCCCTTCTCACTCCTGCCTTCCCCACTCACGCTGCTTCCCACGGCAGCTGCCGCCGGCTCAGGCCCCGGTGCCTCTCTCCCAGGCTCTGGGGAGCAAGGTGGGCAGGAGGAAGAAGAGGACGAGGAGGAGGCAGCATCCAAGAGCTCTTCGTGGGCTGGCTCCCTGGATGTAGGGTCCGGAGTTGGTGGTGGCTGGAGTGGAGACCCAAGAGGTGGGACTGCAGGAACTGCTGCGGAGATGGAAGGCATGGGGGCAGAGTGTGAGGCCCAATATGACGCTGGAGACCACGATCTTCAGCTCTGACCATGGAGGTGACCTGGAGGGCCTCTGGTGGATGACCAGCACTGAATTCCAGGCCCCACTTTTCTACCAACTCACTGGGCAGACTTGGGCCTCAGTTTCCCCATCGGAAATCACTAAGTTGGACACAGTGGTCTCAGAAAGCCCTCACAGCCCTCATATTCTTATTTACTAACTTAAATAGGCAGAGGTCACCAAAAAAGATGTACTAGAATGTTCAGAGAACACTATTCATAATATCATAAAACTGAAACTACCCACATGTCCACCAACAGGAGAGCAGATTTTTAAAAATTAGTGGTACGGGCTGGATACGGTGGCTGATATCTGTAATCCCAGCACTTTGGGAGGCCGAGGCAGGTGGATCATCTAAGGTCAGGAGTTCGAGACTGGCCTGGCCAACATGGTGAAACCCTATCTCTACTAAAAATATAGAATTAGCCAGACGTGGTGGCACATGCCTGTAGTCCCAGCTACTCGGAAGGCTGAGGCAGGAGAATCACTTGAACCCGGAAGGCAGAGGTTGCAGTGAGCCAAGATCACGCCACTGCACTCCAGCCTAGGTGACAGAGTGAAACTCCATCTCAAAAAAATAAAAAAAACAAAACAAAACAAAAAAAGTGGTAGGGGCCAGATGCAGTGGCTCACACCTGTAATCCCAGCACTTTGGGAGGCCAAAGTGGGCAGATGACTTGAGTCCAGGTGTTCAAGATCAGCCTGGGCAACACAGTGAAACACCGTCTCTACTAAAAATACAAAAATTAGCCAGGCATGGTGGCACATGCCTATATTTCTGGCTACTTGGGAGGCTGAGGGAGGAGGATCACTTGAGAGCCAGGGAGGTGGATGAGCCTAAATCACACCACTGCACTCTAGCCTGGGTGACAGAGCCAGACCCTGTCTCAAAAAAAAAAAAAAAAAAGTTTTTAAAAATTCAAATTAAAAAAAAAAGTAGTGGTATGATCTGCAATGGAGTACTACACAGCAATGAAAAAGAACAAACTACAGCTACACACAAAAACATGGATGAATCTTACAGATACAATGAATGTTGATGAATGTTTGTGAGAGATGAATAAAACCCAGATACAGGCCGGGTGGGGTGGCTCACACCTGTAATCCCAGCACTTCGGGAGGCCAAGGCAGGTGGATCACAATGTCAGGAGTTAGAGACCAGCCTGGCCAATATGGTGAAACCCTGTCTCTACTAAAAATTTAAAAAATTAGCTGGACGTGGTAGCGGGTGCCTGTAGTCCCAGCTACTTGGGAGGCTGAGGCAGGAGAATGGCTTGAACCTGGGAAGCAGAGGTTGCAGTGAGCCAAGATTGCACCACTGTGCTCTAGCCTGGGAGACAGAGCGAGACTCTCTCTCAAAAAACAAAAAAAACACAAAACAAAACAGATACAAAAAACCCTACATACTCTATGATTCACCAAAAACAGGTAAAACTGATGTATGCTGAGAAGTCAGGATCGTATTTACCATTAGAGGGGCTGCAGTCGGTTGAATAGTGTCTCCCCCAAAATTCATGTCTATCTGGAACCTCAGAATGTGACCTTATTTGGAAACAGGGTCTTTGCAGATAAAATTACTGAAGATGAGGTCATGCTGGGTTTGGGTGGGACTAATCTAGTGACTGGTACCCTTATAAGAAGAGCTTGTGGAGACACAGAGACACACAAGGGAGAATGTGGAGATGGAGGAGGAGATTGGAGTGATGCGTCTATAAGCCAAGGAGTGCCAAGGAATGCCCGCAACCACCAAAGGCCAGAAGAGAAGCATGGGACACTTTCTCCTCTGAGCCCCCAAGAAGGAACCAACCCTGTCAACGCCTTGATTTCAGACTTCTGGCCTCCGAGCTGTGGGAAAATACATTTCTGTTGTTTCCAGCCACCCAGATTGGAGTCTCTTTTTTTTTTTGGGGGGTGGACGGGGGAGGTTAGAGACAAGGTTTTACTCTGTCACCCAGGCTAGAGTGCAGCGGCATGACCATAGTTCACTGCAGCCTCGACCTCCTGGGCTTAAGCAGATCCTCCTGCTTCAGCCTCTTGAGCAGCTGGGACTACAGGTGTGTATCATCATGCCTGGCAAATAAATTTTTTTGTAGAGACAGGGTCACACCGTGTTACCCACACTGGTCTCAAACTCCAGGCTTCAAGCAATCCTCCCGCCTCAGCCTCCCAAAGTGTTAACCATCACAAGGTGTGAGCCACCATGCCTAACTTCACAAATGTAGTCATTTGTGGAGGCAGCCCTTGGAAATGAATACTTCAGGGTAATGACCGGGAAGAGGTGCAAGACAAGCTTCTGAGGTGCTGGTAACGTGTTTCCTGATCTGGGTACGTGTTCAGCTTAGGAAAATTCATGGAGTGGTACACTTGTGTACCTTTGCCTGTCTGTATGGAATACTCCAACACAAGCAAAAAGCAGCAGAAATCTCTCAACCCCTTGTCAGAAACCAGATTTGGAGTGGAGATTTGGGAAAGAGAAGAGCTCACGACTGACCTTTACTCTGTTGCTCTCCAGGGGCTCCACTGGCCAGCGTTGGGACTGGGGACACTACAGCCCCATCCTGGGCCTGGGTGTGTGGCCTCTGCTTGCTCTTGGCAGCCTCGACAGCCTTGAGTTTTCTGGCGTGTTTGTGGCCTTTATAATGTGCCTCGGCCTGGTTCTGGGGAGGGGAGGCAAGAGGTCACCATTCACTGGCTGAGTCCACATGCCCCATTCATGAACTGGAGCCCAGCAGGGGACAGGTCCAAGGGAGGCAGGGCTCAGGCACACAAAGGGCAAGTCCTTGTCCTTGTCATCATCATCACCATAGTACATGTGGCTCTGAGGTTTACGGAATGTGTTCTCGCACATGAGCTTCAAGGCAGGCAGCCTCTGGCTTCAGATCTGACTCAGCCACTTACTAACTACATCTGTTTTTGCTGCTGTTTTTGCTTTCTGATTTTTTTTTTTTTTTTTTGAGGCAGAGTCTCACTCTGTCGCCCAGGCTGGAGTGCAGTGGCGCCATCTCGGCTCACTGCAACCTCTGCCTCCTGGGTTCAAGCGATTCTCCTGTCTCAGCCTCCTGGGTAGCTGGGACTACAGGTGCGTGCCACCACACCAGACTAATTTTTTGTGTTTTTAGTAGAGATGGGGTTTCACCTTATTAGCCAGGATGGTTTCAATTTCCTGACTTCATGGTCCACCCGCCTTAGCCTCCCAAAGTGCTGGGATTACAGGCGTGAGCCACCAGGCCCGGCCACTAACTACATCTTTAGGCAAGTAACATCATCTCTCTGAGCCTGAGTCTCCTCATCCGTAAACTCTGTGACGACAATACTGACATCAGCCGGGCACAGTGGCTCACGCCTGTAGTCCCAGCACTTTGGGAGGCTGAGGCGGGGGGATCATGAGGTCAGGGGATCAAGACCATCCTGGCTAACACGGTGAAATCCCGTCTCTACTAAAAAAATTAGCTGGGCGTGGTGGCGCGCGCCTGTGGTCCCAGCTACTCGGGAGGCTGAGGCAGGAGAATGGTGTGAACCCAGAAGGCGGAGCTTGCAGTGAGCCAAGATCAAGCCACTGCACTCCAGCCTGTGCGAAGAGTGAGACTCTGTCTCAAAAAACAAAAAAAATACTGACCTCATGGGGTTGTCAGAATTACATGGGAACATGAATTACAAGGGCCGAGTCCATAGAGTAGGTGCTCAATGAATGTTAGTTATCGAGTGTATCAATGCACAAATGGAGAAAGCAGAGCAATCCCCACACTTTGGGGCATATGTACCCCAGAACATTCATCCCTTTGTTCACTTGTTCAACAAGTCATTACTGAGCATTTGCTATTTGCCAGGAAGAAGCCATGGTTCCTCCCTCAGAACAAATTCTCTCCTCCATCTTTTTTTTTTGAGATGGAGTCTTACTTTGTCACCCAGGCTGGAGTGCTGTGGGAGCAATCTCGGCTCACTGCAACCTCCGCCTCCTGGGTTCAAGTGATTCTCCTGCCTCAGCTTCCTGAGTAGCTGGGATTACAGGCACCCGCCACCATAACTGGCTGATTTTTTTTTTTTCTTTATTTTAGTAGAGATGGGTTTCACCATGTTGGCCAGGCTGGTCTCTAACTGCTGACCTCAAGTGATCCACCCACCTCAGCCTCGCAAAGTGCTGGGATTACAGGTGTGAGCCACCACGCCCAGCCTCTCCTCCATCTCTTGCAGGACTCATGGAACCAGAAGCCCTGAAGGGAATCCCCAAATCTGGTCTGTCAGTGTCCTCCCTCCAAGGGTCCTCACTTGCTGCTCCCTGGCCCACCTCCTCAAAACGTGGGAAAGACAGGCTCCCACAGCCCTTCCCTGGATGTGACACCACAGCAGTTCTGCTGACATTCAACTGAAACCCCAGACTGCCTGACAGGAGGTAGACCTTCCCTGCGAGGCCAGAATGAGGTTCCTCCTCTACCTAGGGGTAGGATGTAGTAGAAAGGGGTAGGCTGCAGTAGAGTCATAGACCTTGGGGTCAGCCAGGCCTGGGTTCATATCCCAGCTTTGCTACTAACCAGCTGTGTGGTCTTAGGCAAGTCACTTAACCTCTCTAAGGCTCACTTTCCTCATCTGAAAATCGGGGATTATAGTAGCGTCTCTAGGCCAGGTGCGGTGGCTCACACCTGTAATCCCAGCATTTTGGGAGGTCGAGGTGGGTGGATCACTTGAGCCCAGGAGTTCGAGACCAGCCTGGGCAACATGGTGAAACCCTGTCTCTGTCACAAATACAAAAAAATTAGCCAGGCGTGGTAGCACATCCCTGTAATCCCAGCTACTAAGCCGAGGCACAAGAATCACTTGAACCCTGGAGGTGGAGGTTACACTGAGTCAAGATTACGCCACTGCACTCCTGCCTGGGTGACAGAGTGAGACCTTGTCTTAAAAAAAAACACACACTGGCCGGGCGCGGTGGCTCAAGCCTGTAATCCCAGCACTTTGGGAGGCCGAGGTGGGTGGATCACGAGGTCAGGAGATCGAGACTATCCTGGCTAACATGGTGAAACCCCGTCTCTACTAAAAATACAAAAAACTAGCCGGGCGTGGTGGCGGGCGCCTGTAGTCTCAGCTACTTGGGAGGCTGAGGGGGGAGAATGGCGTGAACCCGGGAGGCGGAGCTTGCAGTGAGCCGAGACCAGCCTGGGAGCACAGCGAGACTCCGTCAAAAAAAAAAAAAAAAAAAAAAACACACACACACACACACACACACACAAATCCTGCCTCTACCCCTCTCACAGACATATCATGAGAACTATTATTTAAGGTGACGGGCATGATCACATTCTGTAAACTCAGATCAGGAGCTGATGAGATGGTCCCCTGGGACCCGGAGTGGAGGAAGGGCAGTCTGCTCTCTTGCAGAAGGATCCAGAACACAGGAGAGAGGCCTGGGGGGAAGGAAATGGAATCCCACTGGGCTATAGCTGGGCAGAAGGGGAAGGGGCAGAAGAATCTAGAGGAGAGGGTGCGATGGTTAAAGGACCAAGAGTGCCTCTTCTGCAGCCAGGGATTGAAAATACAGACCACAGCCCCTTTGCCACTGGTATTCCTCCCAGAAGGACCCTGAAAGCCCAGCCTCCAGCCCTCTCCCTGCCCAGCCCCCTCCCCAGACCTGCTTTCACTGCTTTGTCTCACCGCTGAGTTGAACCTTAGGTGACAGATGTTACAGGAAATGAAGAGTTTCTTCTTCAGAGGGGAGGGGACCCCAAACGTGTGGCTGATGACAGCTTTCTGGACCGGGTCCATCTGTGAAGGGAGTGGGAGGGCATAATAACTCTGGGGTTGGCTTGGGAAGCAGGGATTGGGGGCAGCACAAAACTAAAGATGACTGAAGTGGGCCGTTGTCAGCTTCTAGGAAGAGCTTTTCCATCCTGTGGATGTTGGAAAAAGAAACACCTGGGCCAGCTGCGGTGGCTCACGCCTGTAATCCCAGCACTTCGAGAGCCCGACGCAGGCAGATCACCTTAGGTTGGGAGTTCAAGACCAGCCTGACCAACATGGAGAAACCCCGTCTCCACTAAAAAAAAATACAAAATTAGCCAGGTGTGATGGCGTGTGCCTGTAATCCCAGCTACTTGGGAGGCTGAGGCAGGAGAATTGCTTGAACCGGGGAGATGGAGGTTGCGGTGAGCCAAGAGCACCTCCAGCCTGGGCAACAAGAGCAAAACTTTGTCTCAAAAAAAAAAAGAAAGAAAGAAAGGAAAAAGAAACAGCTGGCTGGGTGTGGTGGCTCACGCCTGTAATCCCAGCACTTTGGGAGGCCAAGATGGGTGAATAACCTGAGGTCAGAAGTTCGAGACCAGCCTGGCCAAGTGAAACCCCTTCTCTACTAAAAATACAAAAATTAGCCAGGCGTGGTGGCGCGTGGCTGTAGTCTCAGCTACTCAGGAGGCTGAGGCAGGAGGCTTGAACCAGAGAGGCAGAGGTTGCAGTGAGCTGAGACTGTGCCATTGCACTCCAGCCTGGGTAACAGAGTGAGACTCTGCCTTAAAAAAAAAAAAAAAAGGCCGGGCGCGGTGGCTCAAGCCTGTAATCCCAGCACTTTGGGAGGCGGATCACGAGGTCAGGAGATCAAGACCATCCTGGCTAACACGGTGAAACCCCGTCTCTACTTAAAAAAAATACAAAAAACTAGCCAGGCGAGGTGGCGGGCACCTGTAGTCCCAGCTACTCGGGAGGCTGAGGCAGGAGAATGGCGTAAACCCAGGAGGCGGAGCTTGCAGTGAGCTGAGATCCGGCCACTGCACTCCAGCCTGGGCCACAGAGCGAGACTCCGTCTCAAAAAAAAAAAAAAAAAAGGAAGGGAAGGGAAGGAGGGGAGGGGAGGGAAAAGAAAACAGAAAAGAAAAAAAAGAAAAGAAAAAGAAACAGCCTCTTCCCTGGCTGTCTTTATCTGTCAGCCTGGGCTTCTGCTTGGAAGCAGGGGAATGGCCAGAGTGCCCTGCATGATACTGGGACATAGAACCACGTTCTGGTGATCACCTTGGCATCTCTTGGTGCCCCTTAGGTCATTTTTTTTTTTTCTCCTTTGCAATAATCACAACTATTGGGACAGAGAGTTGTAAACAAGGAGAGGCAGGAAAAAGACAAAGAACCCTTCTGCTGGAATTTCCTCTCCCATCACCCAGGCTTCATGCCTGGACCTGTGGGCTGGGGGAAGATAAGTCCTATCTCATCAGCTCTGCCACTGTCACAGAGCCTGAGGCTGCTGACGACTTCTTTTTTTTTTTTTTCCCTAAGATGGAGTACTGCTCTGTCAACCAGGCTGGAGTGCAGTGGCATGATCTCAGCTCACTGCAACTTCCACCTCTCCGGTTCAAGTGATTCTCCTGCCTCAGCCTCCTGAGTAGCTGGGATTACAGGCACCCACCACGACGTCTGGCTAATTTTTGTATTTTTAGTAGAGACAGGGTTCCACCATGTTGGCCAGGCTGGTCTCAAACTCCTACCCCCAAAGTGATCTGCCTGCCTTGGCCTCCCAACGTGCTGGAATTACAGATGTGAGCCACCGTGCCCAGCCATGACGACCTCTCTTGAGAGAGTGAGAGCCACAGCCAGGGGAGGTGGGGGGCCAGTAGGGGGCAGGGAGCAGCAAGTGGAGGCCTAAGGTTCCCTAAGGAGGAGGATTGTTTCTTTGGAAAATTAATTTGGATTTTTTTTCTTTTCCTTACTACTTTTTTATTTATTTATTTATTTTGAGATGGAGTCTCCTTCTTGTCGCCCAGGCTGGAGTGCAATAGCAGAGCCAAGATCTTGCAACCTCCGCCTCCTGAGTTCAAGCGATTCTCCTGCCTCAGTCTCCCGAGTAGCTGAGATTACAGGTGCCCGCCACCATGCTCAGCTAATTTTTGTATTTTTAGTACAGATGGGGTTTCACTATCTCTTTTTTTTTTTCCTGAGATGGAGACACTCTTGTCATCTCAGCTGGAGTACAATGGCACGATCTTGGCTCACTGCAACCTCCACTCCCGGGTTCAGGCGATTTTCCTGCCTCAGCCTCCCGAGTAGCTGGGATTACCGGCACCTGCCACCATGCTTGGCTAATTTTTGTATTTTTAGTAGAGATGGGGTTTTGCCATCTCTGTTGGCCAGGTTAGTCTCAAACTCCTGACCTCAGGTGATCAGCCCACCTCAGTCTCCCTAAGTGCTGGAATTACAGGCGTGAGCCACCACACCTGGCTTCTTTTCCTTATTTTAAATCATTATTTTCTTCTATAGAATTAAGGCTTGATGTTCCCTTTTCTCAGGAGGGCCAAATACAGTTGTCTGAACTTGTCAAGAACCTTCCAGGCTGGGCGCGGTGGCTCACACCTGTAATCTCAATACTTTGGGAGGCTGAGGTGGGAGGATCCCTTGAGCTCAGGAGTTTGAGAGCAGCCTGGGTAATATAGTGAGACCTCATCTCTGCTTATATAAAAATAAAATTAAATTAAAAAGGAACTTTCCAAACCTTCCCAAGAAAAGAAAACAGAGCTTAGAGAGAAGCACATGGGTGCAGAAACTTCCCTGAGAACAGAAAGAGGTTCAAATTCTCACAGCACCCAGTGCCAGCAAGGGGCTCAGGGGACAGGACCTCAGAGGAGAATGGCCTGCAGGGGCCCCCTGCAATTGGAACCATGCCTTTCAACAGTGAACCTGTCAGCAAGCGACAGCAGGGACTTGAGACCAGAGGACCACCTCCCAAATGCCTCAGACTCCTTAGGACCTCTGTCTAACTCTGGAGGGTGGGAGGAAGGGATTCCTAAGTGTGACTAAGGTGGAGTTTGCCACCATCTGCTCAGGATGGGGCATGCCACATCCATGATTTCATTTGATTTTTCCAAATTTAAAAAAACGGAGATGGTTGCTGATCCCTTATATAGTGAATTAAAATTCATACTACACTTGTTTTTTTTTTTTTTTTCTGAGACAGAGTCTCGCTCTGTCGCCCAGACTGGAGTGCAGTGGCCGGATCTCGGCTCACTGCAAGCTCCGCCTCCCGGGTTTACGCCATTCTCCTGCCCCAGCCTCCCGAGTAGCTGGGACTACAGGCGCCCGCCACCTCGCCCGGCTAGTTTTTTTGTATTTTTTAGTAGAGACGGGGTTTCACCGTGTTAGCCAGGATGGTCTTGATCTCCTGACCTCGTGATCCGTCCGTCTCGGCCTCCCAAAGTGTTGGGATTACAGGCTTGAGCCACTGCACCCGGCCCATACTACACTTGTTATGCACACACACGTACAAGGAAATGTACGGACCAGGACACATACACAGCACAAAAGCTTCAGGCAGTTACAAATGCTCAGACAAGCAGAACAATTCACACTCATGCACACAAAGGGCACATGACCACAGGTAAACTCACAATCACCCAAACCACACAAAAACATATGCTTAGAGGGCAGATACACGCCAAACACACACTTAAAAGACACAAGGACACAACAAACCCTCAGATTACACAGGCAAATACCTTAATTACATAAAATTACCCACACACACAGAGTTGTTTACAAACACACGCTGAACACCAACACACAAACTCACATCCACATATAACATACAAAGACCTACAGAAACTACAACAGAAAGGCACAGGTCAGTTACACACACACACACACACACACGTCATCCACAGGAGCGCCTACACAGAAGCTCAAGTGGAATGCACAGGCTACAGGCTCTTGCAGGCCCAGCAGCTATGATGGTGGGGGTGGGGAGAGGGCTGACACCATCTTGTTCCCCAGCCTAGGAGAGAGCGGGGCCCTCTCCTGGGGTCCCAAATAGGGGTCCCTATTTGGGGAGCACCTATCCCCTCTGAGGGAGGTTGGAGAACAAGCTCCTGGTTAGACCCAGCTGCTGAGAGCTGGCCCCTGAGCCCAACTTCCATGCCCACCCACAAGCTTGGGTGCATGCCCCCACCCGCCAGCCCAGCCCATACCGTGCTGAAGTTGGGGAAGAGACTGAGCGGGGCAGCGCCATTGAAGTGGAAGGCGAGCAAGTGCTTGAAGTCCAGCGGGGGCTGCAGAGGCCGGGTGGGCAGGGGCAGGGAGGCCAACAGGGGGCTGGGGGCGCTGGAGGCCGGGCCTGCTGCAGGAGGAAGAAGGGCACGGTCTGAAATGGGCTCTCTCCTACCTCTGTAGCCAGAACAAGAGGCGGATGGGCTCCCTGGGTGTGGAGCTGGGCAGAAACCTGTATCTCTCTTCACAGAGTGGCACCAGCCAGACCCAGGGTGATTACAGCCCCCTTCCCTGTGCCCTTCCTTCCCACAGCTGGGGAAGCAGAGGTAGGGAGTCCACAGTTGGAGGCTCCCAGCCCAGAGGGATGACCCTCCCGCCCCTACTGAGGCAGCATACTGAACCCCAGGGCAGCCCAGCCAAGAGAGGGACAGAGGGGTCTGGGCAGGCCCCTGTCACACACCACCATGGAGACTGCATGATGTGCTGGGATTCCATTTTATTGCAAATTAAACTCAAACCCAGGGGTATTAGGGAGAGGCCAGCTCTCGCCCCTGTCACTCTCTAACTGTCCTCCCTCCCTCCAGATCTCCAGGCTTTCACAGCCAGGGCTGACAGGAGGGAATGGGAAACCCATGGGCTCTGAAGGGATGTGTTCCCCAGCTCTGGTGAGGTCTAAACTGCTTCCCCCAGGAGGCAAATAAGCCAGCGTCCCTGGGTTGGGCCTTGAGGCCAGTCCTCGGAGGCGGCAGGTACAGCACTGTGGATTTGCAGTCTTTGGTCTTAAAGGTCTGAGGCAAGGGCAGGGGAGGGGTAGGAACTTGGAGAGCAACTGGACTTTGAGGAATAAAAAATTAGAAAAAATAAATAAATCCAGCCCATCTGGGGCATTTTTGGACCCTGTCATTGCAAAACCAAAAGTAGTCCTTTTAGATGTTTGTGTGGTAACACTATGAAAGATAGCATAGGTTTATTTCACATTTGTAGGTTTTATGTCTATATACACAGTTATACACAGAAAAGGCCTGAGGCAGCCCACTGGTGAGGAGGGGAGGAAGGGAAACACTGTCTCCCCGGAACCATTGGCCCTTGAACCACCAGCTTGGGTACAGAGAGGACACTGTGCTGTGTGTCAGAAACAAGCACGGTCATCTACTCCCCAGTCATAGCTGAAGAGAAGAGACACTGCCGGGAGTGGGACTAAGAAACAGCCAAGGGCAGGGCGCGGTGGCTCACGCCTGTAATCCCAGCATTTTGGGAGGCCGAGGCAGGTGGATCGCTTGAGGTGAGGAGTTCGAGACCAGCCTGGCCAACATGGTGGAACCCCGTCTCTACTAAAAATATAAAAATTAGCCCGGTGTGGTGGTGGGCGCCTGTAATCCCAGCTACTCGGGAGGCTGAGGCAGGAGAATTGCTTGAACCCAGGAGGCAGAGGTTGCAGTGAGCTGAGATTGTGCCAGTGCACTCCAGCCTGGACGACAGAGCAAGACTCCATCTCAAAAAAAAAAAAAAAAGAAAGAAAGAAAAAGAAAGAAACAGCCAAGGACCAGCGTCCGTTCCCTCAGCCACTCAATTCCCAAGACCTAGTCTTCCTCCCCCAAGCCAAGAACTCCCATATTTCTGGGGGGAGCCCAAACTTGGGCCGAATCCAGAAGGAAAAAGGGTGAGCTACTCCTCATCTAACTGTGTAAAGGCCAGGAATGATTTAGGGTGCCCCAGATCCTAGCATCTCTGCCCACCCACCCAGGCCCCTCTTGAACCAGTCCCTTCCTCCACAGCCTACAGGGTGGGGTTGGTGGGAAGCTCCAGAAGGGTGGGTGGGTGGCCTCAGGCCCCTGGGAGGCCACAGTCAGCAGATCATCTTGGGTGCAGCATGGTCAAGTCTAGGTTGGCCCTAAGGGCCCCAGGCTGGCTGGGCCGAGAGAAGGAGGCCACCCTCAGGTGAGCTGCGACCCCAGGAAGCCCTCTCCCCACCCACTCTCTAAGAACTCCACAGCCAACCCAAAGTCAAACTCGTGCAGCGGGGGCCCATCCACTGCGATCTTCACCACGTGGCCCCCCCGGCCTTCCCCGACCCCGCTCTGCCCCCACCACCGCAGCTCCCGGCTGCGGCCGACCTTGTCCAGCAGGCCAGCGCCCGCGGGCAGCGCCAAAGCCAAGGCGGCTAGGGCAGCGAAGTCGGGGAAGAGCTCGTGCAGCTCCGAGTGCGCGCACGCCAGCTGAGTGCACAGGGCCCGCGGGCCGAGCCGCCCAAGGCTGAACACCACGCGCTTAAACAGCGCGAAGTCCCCTAGTGCCCGCTGGCGCACCACGGCAGGCGCAAAGCCGCGCAGCAGCACCCGCAGCGCCCCCTCGCCATGCGCGCCCAGCTCCTCTGGCGCCTGAGGGTAGCGGCGGGGGTCGAAGATCGCCGCGAAGGCGGCCACGGCGTCCAGCGAAGGCCCGGGGTAGGAGTCCTGTAGGCCCTTCCGCATGGAGTCCAGAAAGGACCCCCGGAGCCACTCCAAGCCCCGGACCGCAGCCTCTGAGTAACCGAGCAGCTCCACGCCGCGGTAGGTGCAGCGCCCGCTGCTGGTGTCAGGGTCCGTGGATGCCAGTTCCTGCAGGAAGCCCTGGAGGCGGGCCCCTCCTGAGCCGCGCTGAGCTTGGAGGGAGGCCGCAGCCGCCATCACCAGGGGCTGCAGCAAGGCCATGTCCGGCTCTTCTGCCTGCAGGACAAGGGAGAGCTTCTGCACAGAGGGCAGGGCATCCAGCAGCAGGTGGGTGAAGGCCACGAAGGTGAACTGGCGCAGGGCCAGGGCCAGTGACCCCGCCACAGGTGAGGCAAGGGCTGCAGCCTCCAGGGTGGGCACCAGGCCAGGCCAGGCCTCTGCCACTGCTTCCACAACAGGCAGCAGGGAGGCCCAGGGCACTGGCCGAGGCCCTGCCAAGTCAATAGCTGCAAGGTCCAGTGCTGCCCGGAGCTCAGGGACCAAGTGGGAACTAGGACCACCATGGAGGCGGAATAGGGCATCCAATATGCTCTCATATTGACCCAAGTAGGCGGGGGGCTCAGGATCTGTGCGGCCAGGGAGGCAGTGCAGCTCTGCCAGCAGTGGGCAAGTGGCCCGGAGCTGTGGGCCCACACTCCCCAGGCGCTCATTGGGGAGGCTTGAGCTGAGCCAGGCCAGCTTGGGTGCAGATACGCCGAAAGCCTGCAGGATGTCCAAGAGCTGGCCAGCAGTGGCCTCGCCCTCCTGTAGCTCCACACTGCCCAGGAAGGTGGTGGCAGGCTGGCCATCACAGGGGGACACCGAAGTGGCAAACAGGGCCAGGCTGTGTGACTCCGGCCAGTCTCTGGTCTCGTCCAACACCAGCCCCACATATGGGGATGCCTTCAGGCGCTGGCAGGCCTCTGTGTGCAAGACACTGGCAATGGCCACCTGGGACAGCCAGGAAGAGAAAGGGAGGGAGGACTGAGTTAGGCTTGTCCTGAGAGGCGGAGGCAGGCAGTGCGGGGTGGTGGAAAGAGCCCAGGCCTTGAGGTCACACAGACTTAGGGACTAATCCTGGCTTTGCCACTTACTGGCTGTGCTACCTTCGGCCAGTCACTTCACCTCTCTTAGCCTCAGTTTTCTCACCTCTACAGCTCCTGACGTCTCTAAGAACAGTCCTGCCACCCTGGCTTCCCACCACATCCGGTCTAGTTTTCTAAGCTCTTATACCTGCTGTCAGCTAATACCAGCCCCAAATCTTCTCAAAGCATTGTTGTAAATTATAAATGTCAACTTTTGTTGTGGTGAAAGCACTTTATGAACCATAAAGAGCTCTAGGAAAGCTAATTTTTTCACTGTGTTTTTCTATAGCATCATCCTAGTCTGCCCTATTCCTGGGGGTCTCCCTCCACTGTCCAGCTCAGTGATTAACTGATAGGCACACTCACTCCCAACTCCCAGTTACCCTGGGTCCCAGCTGTATGCTGTTTCTCTATTTGTCATCTCTGTAGGATGAGATCCAACTCCCCCACCTCCAACCCAGCCCACAGGACTCACACAGTTAGTACCTAGGACAGAGCTGCTATCTGCATGTCTCCAGGGGCCATGTGAGTGATACTGAGCTTAAAGAAGGCCAGGGATAAGCCAGAGGGAATGCCCTGCTCTCCAACTCCAGCACATCCTGCTGTGAGAGCATGGGGACCTTGCTTTTCAACATAGTCACAAATATAGATTTTTATATGTAATCTCCTGAGTTTTTTTAAAGTTGAAACAAATTCGAGTTTTTCAAAAACACTATGAAAACTAATTAAACAGGCTCGGCACAGAAAACAGCCCCAAAAGAAAACTAAGTCAGAAGTCATTTCCATTTCCATTCCAGCACTTTGGGGGGCCAAGGCAGGAGGATTGCTTGGGCCAGGAGTTCAAGACCAGCCTGGGCAACATAGTGTGACCCCATCTCTATGTTTAAAAAAAAAAAAAAAAAAAACAGAGGCCAGGCACGGTGGCTCATTCCTATAGTCCAGTGCGCTTTGGGACTATAGCGCTATGTGGGCGGATCACCTGAGGTCAGGAGTTCAAAACTGGCCTGGCCAACATGGTGATACCCTGTCTCTACTAAAAATACAAAAATTAGCTGGGTGTGGTGGCACATGCCTGTAATCCTAGCTAATAGGGAGGCTGAGGCAGGAGAATCACTTGAGACAGGAAGGCAGAGGTTGCAGTGAGCTGAGATCACGCCACTGCTCTCCAGCCTGGGTGACAGAGCGAGACTCCTCAGAAAAAAAAAAATTAAATACATCTGTGGGTCAATCAAGCCTCCAGACCACCAGTTTGCAACGTCTGATTTAGCTAGTGAGAAGAGTGCCCCTGTTCCCGCTAAAGACAAGGCCTGGTCTGGCCTCTTCACTGTTGTATCCCTGCAGCTAGCCCAGCACCAGGCACACAGTAGGCCCTCAGGGAAGGTTCTGAAGGAAGAAGATATGAATGAAATGCCCTAGCTGCTCCCCAAGGGCCTGGCATGCTGGGGCTGTTCCCAGGTGGCTCAGTGTCCTCCCTTCCCAAGCCCTTCCCCCATACTTCTGGCTGTCACCCACCTGCATGTCCCTCACCCTCCTGGGACTGTAGTAATCGCCATGCTCTGTGCCCAGCAGTGCCTGGCACAGGTTGAACCTCTGCAGCTCGAGCAGGGCAGAGCAGCGGTCGTCGGGCACATCCTCCTTTGCCATGCAGTACACGGTAGTCAGCACAGCCACTTTGGCCGGGTCTACCTCCACCTTGACGCCCCTGGAGGCGGGGGTCGTAGTCAGGCCTGTGCAGGCCTCTCCGCCCTCAGCCTGGCCCTCAAAAGGGGGCTGGCCCTGGTTGACAGCCAGAGCCTGGCGGTGGGCTCCTGAGGTCACGTGGCGCAGCAGGGCGTGGCGCTGGAAGTTGTCAGTGCCCACAGTGAAGGCGTTTTCGGCTTTGCCATGCTTGTTCCGTACCAGGGCCTGGCGGCACTCGAGGCAGAACATCAGCTTCCGCTCATAGTCAAAGTCCAGCCAGGTAAACTCCTCTTTCCAGTGCTCGTTGAAGTAACGCTTACACTTCTTGTTGGAGTTGGAGGCCTCTCCCGCTGGTTTCTTCCCTGGGGGCACCATCCTTGCTCTCTGAGCAAGGAACTCCCAACCCCCACCTGAATGCTCTTGCCCCCCTGCCTCCCCCCCCACACAGAGGCACCTCCCTTGACAAGAGGAGTTGATGGGGAGGCGGGATGGGGGCAGCCCACCAGGCTAACAGGGCCCATCCATCTCAGCCTGAACAGTTTATTCCTGCTCCGTGGGTGGGAGACTGGAGATGAAACAGACAAGGGAGAGGTGTTAGGGGTCTGTCATGGTAGGGGCAGTTTAGGGGGGCGTGGTAGGCTCCATGCTGCCCACAGAGTCCTCCCAGCTGAGGGGTGGAGGGGCTCAATGGGGCAGGGGCTCCGGGCAGTGGATGGAGTCATGCAAAGGGCCCTAGAGTGTTATCCAAAGCAGGGAGGTGTGGGGACCCCAGCCCTCTCCCGGGGTCTCTTTCCACCCAGGACAAGGCACTGATTCGCTTTGACTGCTGAAGCATCTCAGAACTGGAAAGACTGGCATCACCTAGGCAACTGCATTTTATAAGGGGGAAACTCAGTCTGGAGAGACAGTGGTTCTCAGGGCCCATGAGGAATTCATAGTGAAACAGGACTAAAACTCAGAACTCTCAACTCCTAGCCCAAAAGATGACTGTGCCCTTCAGCCCACAGTCATCTACTTCATCAGAAGCAAATCAGGCCAGGCATGTAATCCCAGCACTTTGGGAGGTGGCTCACTTGAGCCCAGGAGTTCAAGACCAGCCTGGGCAACATGGCAAAACCCCATCTCTAAAAAAAAAAAAAAAAAATTAGCCAGGCATGGTGGTGCATGCCTATAGTCCCAGCTATTGGGGAGGTTAAGGCGGGATTGCTTGAGCCTGGGAGGCAGAGGTTGCAGTGAGCCGTGATGGCGCCACTGCACTCCAGACTGGGTGACAGAGCTAGACCCTGTCTCAAAAAAAAAAAAAAAAAAAAAGGATGGCCGGGTGCAGTGGCTCATGCCTGTAATCCCAGCACTTTGGGAGGCCGAGGCAGGCGGGTCACCTGAGGTCAGGAGTTCGAGACCAGCCTGACCAACATGGAGAAACCCCATCTCTCCTAAAAATACAAAATTAGCTGGCATGGTGGCATATGCCTGTAATCCCAGCTACTTGGGAGGCTAAGGCAGGAGAATCGCTTGAACCCGGAAGGCAGAGGTTGCAGTAAGCTGAGATCACGCCATTGCACTCCAGCCTGGACAACAAGAGCAAAACTCGATCTCAAAAAAAAAAAAAAGAGAAATCAGCGCAAAGCTGATTCTTGCCAAGCCACAGGAAGATGTGCTTTCTCTAAAGCTGCCTTCCTTACACACACAGGTGCACACAAACTCACACCCACACCCACTGGTACTGTGGTTCTGGGACAGGTAGCCCAGACCTGGGGCCCCAGACTGAAGGCAGGTAGCCGGCTGCCTCTACCTCCCTCACTCTGCCACCTTCCCAGACACAAGGCCAGCATGAGCAGTTCAGGATTGAAAAGCCATGTCCAGCCATTGGCCAAAACCTGCCAAGTCTACCTTTTTTTTTTTTTTTGAGACAGAGTCTTGCTCTGTCACCCAGGCTGGAGTGCAGTGGCGTGATCTCGCTGGGATTACAGGCGTGAGCCACCACGCCCGGCCTTAACTCTACCTTTTAATTATTTATCCAACCTGTGTCCTCCTCTTCATGCTTAACTGTAACTACCATTTCCGGGATGTGAATTGAGGCCCTGTGCTAAGTGCTTTACAATGATCCAGGGCAGACCCAGACGACTCTCCGTGGCTGAGACATTATCCTTTTGGAGAGGAGAAAACTGAGGTCAATGACTTTAACTGGCTTGCTTCAGGTTTCATAAGCAGTAAGTAGCTGAGGCTGAATCAGAACCCATGTCCTCCTGACCCCAAAGGCTGTACTGAGACCCTGGTCTGTACCATCTCTCTCCCTTCAGCTGCCTAGCCTTGGTCCAGTTCAGGCCCTCACGGTATCACCTGGATCATTGCAGCTGCCTCGGTCTCTGCATGGTCATTTCCCCCAGACTCATCCCTCACCCAACAGTCAGAGACAGCAAGCTCACGCACAGATCCAACTGTGTCACTCTCTGGCTTCCACCTCTTTACTGATATCCCACTGCCTAAGTCTACACACCTCACCACAAGCCAACAAGGCCCTCCCCAGGCTCTGAATGCTTCTGTTAATAGAGCCTCCCGCCACTCCTGTCTGCCCAATCAATTCTGAAGGCTTGCATTCCCAGTGGACACCAAGCTGTTACTTTGTCCCTGTTTTCATCCTCTGAGCCTAGAATTCCCTCTCCCTCCTCTTTCCTTACTAATTCCCACTCATTGCCTGAGGGCAGCTCAGGTATCCCTTCTGCCATGCTGATCCCTACAACCGGGGCTGGTAGCCATCCTCTGGTTCTCCACAGCTCCCTATGCACGAGTCTTCATGACACAATATGGTGAATACAAGGATTCTCTATATATCTCCGCACTGAGTTCCTAGAAGCCAAGACCATGTTTGTTCATTTTCATATCTCTAAGTCCCTGTCTGGGGCTGGGCACACAGATACCTCTCAGTAAAAGTTGGTTGTTTAAAAGAATGAAAGGGTCAGGCATGGTGGCTCACACCTGTAATCCCAGCACTTTGGGAAGCCGAGGTGGGAGGATCTTTTGAGCCCAGGAGTTCCAGACCAGCTTGGGCAACATAAGGAGACCCTGTCTTTACAAATAAAATGTTTTTAAAAAATTAGCGGGGCATGGTGGTATATGCCTGTAGTCCCAGCTACTCAGGAGGGAAGATCACTTGAGCCCAGGAGTTCAAGGCTATCATGAGCTATGATCATGCCACTGCACTACAGCCTGGGCAACATTGTGAGACGCTGTCTCAAAATAAATAAATAGATAAAATTTTAAAATAAAAATAAAAATATGGGAGGCCAAGGCAGGTGGATCACTTGAGCTCAGGAGTTCAAGACTAGCCTGGGCAACACAGCAATACCCCATCTCCAAAAGATAAATAAATAAAAATTTAAAAATGAAATAAAAATAGAAAACAATGCCAACACATTAAAAAGGAATGAATGGATTCATTTTGGCCACCTGAAAGAACTCGTTTCTGAGATTGTCAATTAGATGATCTTTTTTCTCTTTTTTTTCTTGAGACGGAGCTTCACTTTGTCACCCAGGCTAGAGTGCAGTGGTGCAATCTAGCTCACTTGCAACCTCCAATCCTGGGTTCAAGCAATTATCTTGCCTCAGCTCCCAAGTAACTGGGATTATAGGCACGTGCACCCGCGCCAGCTTTTTTTTTGAGACGGATCTTGCTCTGTCGCCCAGGCTGGAGTCGCAGTGTGCGTGATCTCAGCTCACTGCAAAATCGCCTCCTAGGTTCACGCCATTCTCCTGCCTCAGCCTCCCAAGTAGCTGACTAGAGGCGCCGCCACACACCCGGCTAATTTTTTGTATTTTTAGTAGAGGACGGGGTTTCACCGGGTTAGCCAGGATGGTCTCGATCTCCTGACCTCGTGATCTGCCTGCTTTGGCCTCCCAAAGTGCTGGAGATTACAGGGTGAGGCCACCGCGCCCAGCCCCGGCTAATTTTTTTTGAATTTTTAGTAGAGACGGGGTTTCACCGTGTTGGCCAGGCTGGTCTCAAATTTTTTTTCTCAATGATTTGCCCATCTCAGCCTCCCAAAGTGCTCGGATTACAGGTGCCTTTTTTTTTTAGACGATCTTAAGCTCTGAGACTGCAGTAACTGTCTTTGTCCACTTAACTTTTTTTTCAGTGCCCTGTGTGGAACCAGCACATAGTAGGTGGGTAAAGCAAGGGCAGATTTTTTTTGTTCCAGGACCAGCTGGTTCAGTGTAAGGAAAGACTGCCAGATGCAAGTAATTTTTTTTGGCCCTCTTCCTTGGGACTTCTTTTTTTTTTCCCCAGACAGAGTCTCACCCTGTCGCCCAGGCTGGAATGCAGTGGCACAATCTCAGCTCACTGCAACCTCTGCCTCCCCGGTTCAAGCGATTCTCCTGCCTTAGCCTGGGCACCACACCACTCCATCCAGCTACCTTCCTGGCCTGTCTAGACAGAACTCTTGATCTGTCCTTACAAATATGCTACTTTTGGCTCAATTTTTTTTCTCACATCTATAATCCTAGCATTTTTGGGAGGCTGAGGCAGGAGGACTGCTTTTTTTTTTGAGTTTGAGACCAGCCTGGGCAACATAGGGAGACCCTGTCTTTACCAAAATTTTTTTTAAAAGAAAAAAGAAAAAAAAATAGCCAGGAATGGTGGCATATACCTGTAGCCCCAGCTACGCAGGAAGCTGAGGCAGGAGGATTACTTGAGCCCGAGAGTTTGAGACTGCAGTGAGCTGTGATCACATCACTGCACTCCAGCCATCCTGGGTGACACAGCAAGACCCTGTCTCTCAAAACAAAAACAAAAGCAAATATGCCCCTCTCCCAGTCATCCTTGTCTCAGGAAATGAAATCCATCCTTCTTCCTAGGTGCCTTGGCCAGAAACCTGCCCTTCAATCCCTGCTTTTTTTTACATCCAGAACCCGCTCAATGAATCCACAGGTCCTGTTGATTCTCCCTCCATTTTTTTTTTCTAACTTGTCCCTTCTCTCCACACCACTGCCTGGCGGCCTTGTCCAGGCCACCTTTATCTTTTGCCTGGACGAATGCAGTTGCTTCCTGATTGCACGCTGGGTTTCTATTTTTTTTCTCTCTTAACCAGAGGGGAGCTTTAAAAAATGTACCACTTTAGTGAGCCGATTTTTTTTCAGCCTGGGAGACAGAGCAAGACTTCATCTCAAAAATTTATATATATATTGTTTTTTTTCCCTCCACAACCACCCACTCCTCTAAGGCCAGTGCCAGAATTCCTTTGAGGTTTTTTTTATGCCCAGGGTTACTGACCTCTCTGGTGGCCACTTATGTCTCCCTTCCTTTTTTTTTTTACCACCCTTCTCTCTGGGTTCATCCAGAGTGCCAGGTTCCCATCCCTCGGGTTTTTTTTCCATGCTGTCCCTTCTTCCAGAATGTTCCCAGCTGCCCTCCCAATGCTTTATTTTTTTTGTTTCATTTCCCCTTTGGCCTTAGCTTAACCATCGATTCCCAGGAAGTCCCTTCTTTTTTGTCATTGCTCCCTGTTTGTTCTCTCCATTGCATGCTCCACAGATTACAAATTTTTTTTTCTATCTGTGTAGTTCTCTTGCTTCATCCTCTCTCCACCCTCCTTCTCATGCACATTCCCTTGGGGCAGGAAAGGTAACTAACTTCTTCATGTCTGAATCCAGAGACAGGTTTTTTTTCTGACACCCAGCAAGTGCACCACACAATTGGGCAGTGAATAAGAAAGAGCATTTTTTTTGGCAGAGAGGGCAGTGGAGCCAGCCCTTGGGCACCTGTTGGGTGATTAAAATTTTTTTTTTTGACATTCTTTCCTCCCAAGATCCTGTGATTCTATGACCTTGCCTAGCCTTTTTTTTACAGGATCTTAGAACGGGGGCAGAGGGGTGCAAGAGCAAGGTAATGCCCTTCTGGAAGTTTGTCAGATCCTTTCCATGTACCTCGAAGCTGCCTATCCTGCCCATTCTGCAGAACAAAAGGGCAGGTAGGTAGAGCCCAGAAAGATGGAGATTCTAAAAGGGCTCTGTCTTTTTTTTCAGCCACTGGCCACTGCAGCTGTTGTAAATGCAGCTGTTTAAACTACTTAGTTTTTTTTAAAACATTAGCGTTCAGCTCACACCAGGCACTTTTCAAGTGCTTAGTAGCCAATGTGGCTAGTGGCTATTGCATTGGACAGCACATTTCCATCATCCCAGAAAGTTCTATTTTTTTTTGCTGCTCTAAACAGGTCAAATTCCATTAACATTCTCCCCACCTCAACCTCAAGGAACCAGGCTGGGTGGAGTGAGGGGTAAACAAAACTCCATAGGTCCAGTTGTGACCAAGGCTGACCAGGGGGGCACACTTGTTGCAGACCCAGGTCTCCTCTCACCTCTTTCCACACCCTGACCAGCCGGATGGGAGCAGGAACAACTTGACAAGGGCCCCTCGGCATGTAAGCCTTTTTTTTTACTCATGTGGCCCCAGGATGTGGGTCCCAAGCCTCCTCCCCGGGCTCCTGGGGACCCCTTGCTTTGGGACCCCACTAACAGGAGTTCAGCTCTCAGCAGAGTACGGCCGGGCGCCCCCTGCTCTGGCAGCCCTGGTGAGAAGGGGCTCCCCTGCACCCCGTCTCACCCATCCTCCCGGGGGCTGGGACGGGGAGGGCTGGGGAACTTCCTCTGGGGGGCGCGTGGTGTTTTTTTTCTCGGTGGGCCCCGCAGAGGCACCGAGCCTCCGCCCGCCCGTCCCGCCCGCTTTTTTTTGGGGCGCCCAGCCCGGCCCGGCGCCCCCGCCCCGTCCGCTAGCACTCACGGAGACACAGGAACCACCATCTTGGGCGGTGGACGCTCTGGCCGCGGTCTCCTTGGGCTTCACGGAGCGACAGCAGCCACTAGCGGCAACGGGGGCGAAGAGGCGCCAGCAGCCGGCGCCGGCCGGGGTCGCGGGCAGGGCGGGCGGCGTCCCCGCGCTCACCTGGCCGCGCCCACCTGCCGCGCCTCCCGCCCAGCTCGCTCAGCCCGGCCCCGGCCCCACCCCCCGGCCCCTGCCGCCGCACGCGCCGCAGCAGGAGCCACTGAGGCTAGACCGCAAGCAGCGCGGTGCCGGGGTTCATTCGGTCCGCGCATGTATCCGGGGGTTCCTCGAGGGGCTCACAGCCGTAAGAGACATTTTTTTTGAGCGCCGTGGAGGCTGCAAAGTGCTCTGAGAGTTTAGAAGCAAGTGCTCTTTTTTTTTCAAGGAGCGGGCGATCAGCTGAAGGTCTGCAGGGAGGGTCAATTAGGGTTCTTTTTTTTCTGGGTAAGTGAACTATTACTAGGGGAAGGGCACTCCAGGCCATGGGATGGCAGAGCAAAGATCTCCTCTGGAAGTTGACAGGTCGCTGCAGGTTCATGAAGAATTGGGGTGGGTGGGGGCAGTGCCTGATGCTGGATGGCTCTAGGGGAATGCTGGGGATTTGGACCTTTTTTTTTGATGGGGAGCCTCCTTCGGAGGAGTTGGAACTGGGAAGCTCATTGTTTTAGTTTTTTTTGTTATTTGCAGTGGGGTTGACAGAGTGGGGAAGAGGGAGGGAGGTTGGAGTTTTTTTTTTCTAGAACTCTGATACACAGCCGACCCTCATCCCTGTCTGCGTTACCCTGATTTTTTTTTTGAGGAGGTTCCCTGCAGGAGGAATGTGCTGTTGTGGCACCCCAACCCTCCCAGACGTGGAGGTGTGGAGTCCAGAGGCCTGGGATGGAGCTCCAGTTATATTTAACTCTTTTTTTTTGGACAGGACACTTAGCTATGAGCCTGTTTCCTCATCTGTAAAGCGGGAATTACAACCCGGGGAGGAGGCTAGGACAGGACAGAAATGGGTCTGAAGACCAAATGCGGTGCTGGGTGTGGAGGCCATTCAGAGAGGGGGCTGGACTGCTGCTGTGGGTCAAGGGAATGTTTTTTTTTTGACCCAGTCTCCCTTCCAGACAGCACCAAGTCACCCAGAAATGCCTTCCATTTTTTTTACAATTGGGTACACTGCTCTTCTGCAAAAGGCCTAGGGTGCATGTTGATTTTTTTTTTTAGCCCTACCAGTGGCTGCTGGGAACGCCTCCGCCCCAGCATCCTCCATGCATTTTTTTTCTGTGCCACCCACCGTCTGCCTCTGACATTCACTGTGAACCCCAGCCCCAGTTTTTTTTGGATGGTGCGCGAGTCACATGCACACGCACGTGTGGCCGTCTGACTCCTGGTTTTTTTTAAATGAAGGGAGCCACAGCCCCCACAGCTGCCCCCGAATGGCACCACACAGTTTTTTTTTCCAGAATTCTGCACCCCAAAAGGGTCAGGTTGGGGGCAGGTCTTCTTGGATTTTTTTTTGCTGCAGAACAGCCACCTAAGTGTCTTGGAGCAGCCATGGCTCATTAGCCTTTTTTTTCAAGAGGGTGGGGTGTGGTCAGAGGTATGAGCAAGCCAGACCGAGTACAGGAGAAGAGGCTGCCCCCAAAGGTCCAACCGAGGCTGGGGCAGGGCACAGAGCAGAAATCTTTTTTTTTAACATCACCCTGGCTGCCACCAAGGGACAAGATCTGGGAAAGCCACATCCTTTTTTTTTGCCATAATGGGAAAAGACAGACAGACACACACACACACGAGCACAGAGACATTTTTTTTGAGGCCCATATCACCCATGGATAGTGGCAGGTATAGACATCAAGGCACATATTTTTTTTCTTCCCCCCACAGTTAGACCATGTATTCCATCTACACATGAGATGCATATATTTTTTTTGGTGGTACTGATGCCAAGATACACAGATACCCATGCTGGCCGGGAGGCAAATTTTTTTTCACTGGCCACACAAGAGCATGCATGCATACACAGATGGGCACCAGCAACAATTTTTTTTCTGTGTATACATATACCCAGAGAGACAGATGCACATGAATGTGCAGACCCCTTTTTTTTCAGATATAGACCAAGGACAGCAATGGGCACACAGCGGCACACACCTTCACATTTTTTTTTGCATGTACACAAAGAGCCATATGCAGATGCAGAGACTGGTGTGCACACACTTTTTTTTTACAAAATTAAATGCATTGGACTTAAAAGAGCATATCTCCAAACAGAGTCTTTTTTTTTCCTTCTCCCACCCTCCTACCCCTAAGTCATGGGGCGGACGATAGGGTCCTCTTTTTTTTACATGCCTGCACACAACACATCTCAAATAATGACACTGCCATTTCTATGATTTTTTTTTCCCAAACTCTGCGAAGAATATGGGAGTCCAGGGAGAGAGAGCCAAAGTGGGGAGTGAGAGGTTGAGCCAAGACATACTGCATGCCCACTCCCACCGTGGCCAGGGGCTTCTTTTTTTTATTCTCCAGAGTCCCTGAGCCACTTCTGGGTCATCTAGCACTCAGGATGTGTTTTTTTTCCTAAGCTGGAGGAAGGCTCCAAAGCCCAGTCACAACAGAAACTCTGCCCCTTTTTTTTCTGCCTCCAGGCCTTTGCCCCCAATGAAAGGGTTCCCCCAAACAGCCTTTGTTTTTTTTTGGCTGTCTCCCTCAAAAAAGGCCAGGCAACCCTCCGTGTGGAGAGGTGAGCTGGCAGACCATGGATAAAGACGGGGGGAGGGGGGCATTGGTGTGGACCCCAGTGCAGTGGCCGGATCTCAGGGAGGAGGCACCCTGATTTCCATCTCCCTCTGTCTGCTTCTCTCTCTTTTTTTTCTGCAGTAACAGCTCCCGCTTCACTCCCCTCGGACGTCTCCTGCTCCCCTGTTTTTTTTGAGGCAGTTAAAGGTGAGGTCTGATACACGGAACCTTTGACACGGGCTCCTGAACAGGCATCTGCCCAGATGTCCAGCACCCCTGTTTCCTGCAGGGTGGACCTCCAGCTTTTTTTTTTTCCTGCCCCTCCTTTCACCTTTGTTCTCGGCCAGAGTGGGGGCTTCCCTGCCCAGCCCTGAACCTGGGAAAAGGGTTGAGAGTGACTGGCTACTGGTGTCTCTGACAGACAACTTTTGGGGGCCAACTATAGCCGGAAAGGATTGGGCTGGGGAGAGGGGAGAGGACCTTTTTTTTCTAAGCCCTCTCCCCACTTCCCAACCCAGGTGTCCTCAGCACTCACCCAAGTTTTTTTTCTGCCTTTGGAGACACCGCGGAGCGCAGAACGAGGAGCAAATGAAACCCAGCCAGAGTGACAGAGGGAAGGGGGGGATATGAGGGACAGGAGGGGAGGGCGCGAGGGAGGTTTTTTTTGTTCTGCCTGGAAAGCAGCGTCGTTCCAGGGCCCTGTCTGTCTTTGCCAGGAAGGAGCTGCCCATTCTCTGGTTTCCCCCATCCCAACCGCAGGTAGAAAGAACAGGGCATTTTTTTTCCCCAGGGGAGAAGTATGGGGGCAAATGTGCAGACCAAGAACTGGGGGAGGTTTTTTTTGAGCATCCCTCAGCCCCCACTCCCGGAGGATTCCCTTGCCTGGGGCCTCTTTTTTTTTTGCAAAGGGTTGGAAGGGCTGGCTTTGTCCACAGGGACCTCCAGGGAAGGAGTTTTTTTTGGCCCTGCTCTGCCTGCTGGATGGCTCTTGCCGTCTTCTTGCCCCAGCACTTGCTGCAGGAGCCCGTTCTGCCCAACCTCACTCATCCTCTCCTCACCATCCCCTTATGTTTTTTTTTTGTTGCTGAAGAGGAAACTGAGCTTGAGAGAGGTGTTGCCACTTTATCAAATTTTTTTTGCCATGTGGGGGTTGGGGAACGGGGATCCAGGTGTCTTGCCACTGTTAATCTTTTTTTTGGACCCCTGGATCTGTTACCTGGGCAATGCCAGGAAGGAGAGGAGGGAGTTTTTTTTTTCCACTGGAACTTCTTTTTTTTTGAAACAGAATTTCGCTCTGTCATCCAGGCTTTTTTTTAGTGGCAAGATCTAGGCTCACTGTAACCTCTGCCTCCCGGGTTCAAGCGATTTTTTTTTCTCAACCTCTAGAGTAGCTGGGATTACAGGTGCCCGCCACCACGCCCAGCTTTTTTTTTTATTTTTAGTAGAGAGGTTTCACCATGTTGGCTAGGGTGATCTCGAACTCCTTTTTTTTAATGATCCACCTGCCTTGGCCTCCCAAAATGTTAGGATTACAGGTGTGAGCCACAGCACCCGGCCTGATCCACTAGAACTCCTGACACCCCTCCCCTGCCCACCCCAAATTTTTTTTTCCGGTCCTTCTCCCCTCCATTCACTCCTTCCTCTCCCTCTTCTTCCTAAAATTTTTTTTTTTACTGACCTGAGCACCTGGTGGCTGGGAGGGGGTGGAGTGGGGGAAGGAGGCAGCCAGCCCACAGCTGGATCCAGTCCTGCATTCCAAACCCAGGTTCCAATGCTAGCCCCCCACCCCCTCAGCATCCTGTCTCCACCAGACAATAACCTGTAATCTCTGGAGCAGCCAACACTCGAACCACAAAGAAGATCTGGGAGGGGTTGGCTGCAGCAGCTCCTGAAAACATTTTTTTTAGGAAGGGGCTCTGCGGGGAGGAGTTGTTTGTGTGGGGAGAGGAAGGAAACTTTTTTTTAGAGCTAATTAACCCACCCAGAGACAGACAGAATCTTTGTCTTCTTCCAGGGCAGGGATCTGAGCTAAGCCCCCTAATTCTCTACCCAGACAGCCTTGCTTTTCCTGGTGTTTTTTTTGGAGGGGGATACCAATGGTCAGGATCACACCTGGGGGAGGGGGATATGATGTTTTTTTTGAAGAGTGTGGGGCACTTCTGTCACCTGCCACCAAGCGAGAATAGCAGCAGTTTTTTTTGGCAGGTCAGACTGCAAGAAGAACTTCTCAGTGGCCTTGGGGGAGCACCGTTTCTTTGCAGCATGCACCCAAAGGCCTCAGTATGTGTGTGGGAGGCCGTGACTGGGGAGGAAACAGCAACCCAGGGAGATACTGAAGGATGGGGGACAGGCTGGAGG